AGAGGGACACTGGGGTTTTTCACCTTCCTCTGCAGCATGGGGCCTGGCTCACTTGCTGGTTTAAACTAGTGTCAATAATGGATTCTCTGTAACTTGAAGTCTTTAAATCATGATTTGAGGACTTCTGTAACTCAGTCTCACAGGAGTGAGTGAGTGAGGTTCTGTGGCCTGCAATGTGCAGGAGGTCAGGCTAGAGTCTAGTCCAGGGGTAGGCAACCTATGGTATGCATGCCAAAGGCGGCACGCGAGCTGATTTTCAGTGGCACTCATACTGCCGGGGTCCAGGGGGCTCTGTATTTTAATTTAATTTTAAATGAAGTTTCTTAAACATTTTAAAAACTTTATTTACTTTACATACAACAATAGTTTAGTTATATATTATAGACGTATAGAAAGAGACCTTCTAAAAACGTTAAAATGTATGACTGGCACGCAAAACTTTAAATCACAATGAATAAATGAAGATTCGGCACCCCACCTCTGAAGGGTTGCCGACCCCTGGTCTAGTCACTAGATGATCATGATGGTCCCTTCTGACCTTAAAGTTTATGAGTCTATCAATGAAATGTGTTAGAAGTGTGAAGTATTAGTAAGGCTTTTGCACAGTTCCCACATGACATTCTTATAAGCAAACTAGGAAAATGTTGTCTAGATGAAATTACTATAAGGTTGCACAATTGATCGCAAGACTATACTGAAAGAGTAGTTATCAAAGGTTCACTGACAAACAGGGAGGACATATCTAGTGGGGTCCCACATGGGTCCTTCCTTGGGCTTATACTATTCCTAGGGTCCTTCAAAATTCAAAATGACCGTGACACATTAGAGATTTAGTCTGAATTCAACAAATGAAATTCAATAAAGATAAGTGCATTTACTTCACTCAGGAAGCACAAATACAAAATGGGGAATAATTGGCTAAGTGTAGTACTGCTGAAAAGGGTGTAGGGTTTATAGTGGATCGCAAACTGAATATGAGCCAGCAATGTGATGCAGTTGCAAAAAAACTAATATTTTAGTGTGTATTAACAGGAGTGTTGTACGTAAGACACAGGAGGTAACTGTCCCACTCTACTCAGCGCTGGTAAGGCCTTGGCTGGAATAATGTGACCAAAACTGGGCAACATGCTTTAGGAAAGATGTGGACAAATTGTAAAGTCAAGAGAAGAGCAACAAAAATAATAAAAGGTTTAGAAAACCTGACCTATGAGGAAAGGTTAAAAAAACTGGGCATATCTAGTCTTAAGAAAAGAAGACTGATCGGGGACATAACAGTTTTCAAATATGTTAAGGGCTGTTATAAAGAGGACAGTGATCAATTGTTCTCCATGTCCACTGAAGAGAGGTCAAGAAGCAATGGGCTTAATCTGCAGGAATGTAGATTTAGGTTAGATATTAAGAAAAACTTTCTAACTGTCAGGGTACTTAAGCTCTGGGAAAGGCTTCCAGGGGAAGTTGTGGAATATCCATCATTGGAGGTTTTTAAGAATGGGTTGGAGAAACACCTGTCAGGGATGGTCTAGGTTTACTTGGTCCTACCTGAGCACAGGGGTCTGGACTTGATCACTTCTTGAGGTCCCTTCCAGCACTACATTTCTATGATTCTATGTTTTCTGTTATAATGCATCTTATAGAAAGTTATTTCCTTTGGTATCCCAGCCCTTGCAAAGACCTTCTTGAGCTCGTTTACTACAGTAGGTGCATTCACAGTGCACAGTTGGATGGCTTCGGGATACCATGTGGCTTAGTCTACTATCATCAGTATATAACTGAATCCCAATGCATTCTTCTCAAGGGTCCCAGTAAATTCTCCCCTACCCATTCGAAGGGTACACCCACCACCGGGAGTGGAATCAGGGGCCTTAGACATCTCTTTAGGTCCTGCCAATTGGCATTCAGGACACGAGGCATAGAAATTGTGCACTTCTTGGTGGATGCCCAGCCAGGCATCTTTTCTCTCCCCAAATGCCTGGCACACAGCACCAAATGGGCTAGGTGTAGTAGCCTCTGGCAGAACTTTTTTGGTACCCGCAGTTGGTGCCATTTTTCCTGGGTTTGGGTGTCTCTCATCACTCAGTATAGCTATTCATTGCAGAGCTTGAAGTGGGGCCACTGCTTTGCCTACTGGGTTTCACTCTCTTCCCCCTCCAGGACAGCTAACTGCTCCCAAGCGCAGCTCAGAATCTTTTCCTCCCCTTGTTTCTGCATGAAGACTATCTCTAATGGTAGCCAATCATGGGTTGCTTCCTTGGATGTGCTCAGGCTAGTGGGCTGTTGGGTCAGTGATCCTGGCTGGCCTGAGGGACCCCGCCAGGACCTTTCACCTTGTCCTGTCCCATAAGCCCCCTTATTTTTGGGTTTGGGTCGACCTCTGCTGGGGATTCTTTGTTCCACTGCTGCAGGGGTTCTCCAGATTATCTCTAATCTCGTCCCAATATTACTGGGTAGGGCAGTGTGGTCACTAAGCTGACTCAGCAAATCTCAGTGTGGCCCTCTACTTTAAGTTGCACTTTTGTCATGAGGTAGAACTGCATATCCCTGTGGATGTGTTAGAGTTTAGACAGGGGCGTCTGGCTTGTCAGGGAACTCCACCAGGCATGTCTGGACGATGGTCTGGCTACATCCAGAATCCACCAGGCCCATCACTGTGATGCCATTGACACGTCCTGGCAGCAGCATATTAGTTGGGCCCCATTTCCGGGCTTGGGTGTCTGCCGTCCATGCCTGCCCATAATTGCAGTTCATGAAGGGGCACTCCTGCCTGAAATGCCCCTCCTGTCCACACTCAAAGCAATTGCCCTTTGGGGTCACTATCATTTGGCCCACTTTTGGGGAAGTTGGTCTTCGTGGGGCGTATCCCCCTCTTCAGGGGCCCCGATTCCCCCCCCAATCCACCTTTGTTGTGAGGTTGCTCCCTGCATCTGGGGGCACTCCACTGGGTAACAGCCAGTTTAGCTGTCCTCGGTCTTCCCTCTTTGCCCGGCCCCCATTAGGGGTCAGAGTCTTGCTTCCAGGAGTCCCAGCCCTTGGCATTAGTGAGGGTGGACCCTCAGTGGACACATAATTCTCCTTTAGGATCATGGTCTCTGCCAGTTTTGATGGCCAATGGTGCTTTACCCACCCTTCACCTTGGTTGGGAGAATCTGGGTGAATTGTTCTAGCATGATCATTTCCGCCATCTGTGTCATGTCTGTTTTTCTGGGTCTAACCAGTGCCAACACTGGTTCTTCAATTGTTGGGCCACCACCTGGGGCTGGGTTCCAGGCAGGTACTTCCTTTGCAAAACCTCTGGCGGAACGTCTTGGGGTTGATATCTAGGTAGTCGAGTATGGCTGTTTTTACCTTGGTGTAGTCTAGTGCTTCAGGGGATCCAAACTCCAATAGGCTGCTTGTGCAGGGCCAGTCAAGAATGGGGGTATCAGGGTGGCCCAATGTTCTGGTGGCTAACATGCTGTGGTGGTCACCCATTCAACGGTGAGCAGGAAGGCTTTGGGGTCATCGCTGGGGCCCATTTTCATGAGCCAAATGGGCAGCCCAATTGGGAAGGCGTCTCCTATGGATCTGGGCGCTGTGATGTTGAATGCCCCCTGGGGCTGTGATAGTTTCGCCACCTATTGGATCAGGCGTTTTTGTTGTGCCTGGCCCTGTACCGCCAGCTCCCAAATTAGCTGTTGTTTTTGGGCTACTTGCTGTTGTTGCTGGGCCACAGTCTGTTGCAGTATTTTCCCTTGTTGCTGCTCTTGCTGGGCCACCTGCTGTTGCTGGTTCTCCATCATCCATTCCAGCAGCTTTTCTGAATCCATGGCTTCTTTAGGGTCGTTCAATCGGTGGTCTGATGGTCCTTTTAACAGGACTTGGGTGATGCCTACATTCTCCACCACGTGTCGGGAGAGGTCCAGGTCTAGTCCCAGCAGCACTGCCTGGTGGTGGTTCTCTGTTATGTCACCTAGTGGCTAGAGTCAGATGGCCATATTGTCCAATGGCAAGAGTCAATGGCTGCCTCGCCTAGTGGCTAAAGTCAATAGTTGTGTTGTTCAGCGGTTGTATCACCCAGTGCTGAGAGTCAATGGCTTCCTTGCCTAGTGGCTAAAGTGGCTAAATGGCTATATAACCTAATGGCGAGAGTTGATGGCCACCTCGCCCAGCGGCGAGACTCAATGGCCAGGGGTAGGGGAACCTGGGCCCTCCCTGCTCCACCAGGTCCTAACCCAGAGCCCGGTGAAACAATCATTCAAATGTGTGGCCTAGGAGGAGTGAGCTCCTACTCCTGCTCCCTGGGCCACTTCCTACCCTGGCTTCTGTTCCTCTGTTGGTGTCATTAGTTCGCCTCTGGGTCCCTATTGGAGTCCTCTCTGTCCATGTTCCCTAGGGTTGTCCTCTTGCAGTCGCATCTTGTCGACCTCTGTGACAAAAAGCCCTGGAGCAGCTTGATGCCTCAGCGGCTTCTCGGCCGGAGCCTGCAACACAAAACTGCTCTCCTGCTCCGTCCAACCAGACTGAGCTGAGCTGCTCCAGTTTGATCTCAGTCTGTACTGTGAGCATGCCCAGCAGAGGTGTCTGGGTGGGGCTTTCTGGACAGAGAGTTGCTTCTTAACCCTTTCTTCACCAGTGTGGGGTTTGTACACCACATCACACATGTGATGTTGACAATTTGTGTTCCAACCATTATCAAGCTTTAATTTTTTGAATCTCAATGTCTACTGTGATTAAATAATTATTGTCTGACCCCCTATTGTCAGTTTCCCCCATAATTTCCCATAGTTGTGAAAATTTAATTGATCAATATAAAAAATGTTTAAAACCCATCATTTTGCTCAACTGGGAAAATGAAAATAAATAAAAATAGAAAAAGTCTTAAAAATAAACATCAATATTATCTATCAACATTATATAAAAAAATCAAATTCTGCCAAGCCTCGTCATTCTCTAGGGATTCTCAGCACACTTGTGCCTTGCAGGCCATGCTCCCTGCCTAATCTGCCATACTGTCTATTTCACAGTACCAAGAGGCTGATACGACAAAACAGCTGCTGCTCAGGAGCTATGGATCCTTCCTGTAGGTAAGCTCCCCGCTACGGACACTGGAAGAGAGCATCTGACTCATCAGAGTTGTCACATGGTTCCCACCTTTGGTACACTGATTTGGTAATCTACCTCCAAGCATGACTGGTAGTTGATGCTTTGGAGGAAAGTGAGCTCCTCCTCCCATAATGCACTTGGCCAATTTTGCAATGCTGCTCTGAGTTGTGGGGGGAACCGGTGTCCTTCTCCACACCCTCAGGCTCTCCATTTATACAATGAAGCATGAGATGTGATTGACCTTTATACTTTTAGCTGGCATTAGATACAAACTTTATTAATGGTCATAAAAGTTAACCAACCCTTTCTAAAATCCAAACACCAGTAGTTAGTTGACTCATTGACCACCTGTGAATGTGTATCGCACAACTTGACTATATGTTGCATAAACAATTGCCTTGTCAGCATCCCTTGAAAGTTAAATTTAGGTTCTACTCTAACCGATGTGCATCTACCTATTCAATAAAAAGGCATTTAAAGTATATTAAAGTCTATATGAGGCAATAATTTCTGCTAGCAATAACGTTACAGTCTAAATAGAAAAACACAAATAAGGAAGAGAAACAGAGGCACAGTGACTTGCTCAAAGTCAAACAGTAGGTCCATCGCTGAACTAGGAATAGAACCCGACTTTCCTGACTTCCAGTCTTGTGTGTTATCCCCTGGAACATGCTGCCTCTCTAAAGTAAACTAATGACTAGGGGGTCTGATTAAAACTCCAGAGGTAGGAATAGAGATTATTTTTGGAAACACTAATATGCAACTAGAGTGTGATCCATGAAACAAGCTACAGGTCTAACCTAGAGAAGTTAATACAGTAAATGGATTTAATTGTGCTTTTGATGTTAGGTAAACTGATACAATTAATCCTTTGAAATGGAACACCTGTGGCTTCTGTTCCCACCAAAGTTCAATATGAGCGAGTAACAATAGAAGAATCTGCTTTGTACTCATGCCTTACTTATGTATTAATGGTAAAAAAAATAAATCTGTTTTCTCACTGACATATAGACACTACTGGAATTGCTTATCTTTGGTCAGAAAGGCAGGATACATGCTCCTTTCTGGCATTGTCACCATTTCTGTTTTATAAAGCAAGCAGGTGATACTTCTGAGAGGAGAGCAGTTAATACCCTCCTTGTAGGTCTAATTCTGATAATTTCTTTAGATCCACTCCGGATTCCCATCATTGTGTGCTCCCTGAAGCATGCAGGAGGCAGTACTATGGGGGTGATGTGGCGGGGTTTTTTTTTTTTCCATCTTAATGCCAGAAACTTACAGATCCAGGATTTGGCCCATATATTGCAAGGACCATCTTTTTGTTCTGTGTTTGTACAGCACCTAGCACAGGGATGGGCAAACTTTTTGGCCCAAGGGCCACATCTGGGTATGGAAATTGTATGGCGGGCCATGAATGCTCACAGAATTGGGGGTTGGAGTGCAGGGGGTGAGGGCTCCGGCTGGGGGTGCGGGCTCTGGGGTGGGGCTGGGGATGAGGGGTTGAGGATGCAGGAGGGTGCTCTGGGCTGGGACCGAGGGGTGAAGAGGGCACGAAGGGGATCAGGGCTGGGGTAGGGGTACAGGCTCTGGATAGCGCTTACCTCAAGCAGCTCCCAGAAGCAGCGGTATGTCCCCCCTCCGGCTCCTACACAGAGGCGCAGCCAGGCGGCTCTGCGAGCTGCCCCATCTCCAGGTGCCACCCCTGCAGCCCCCATTGGCTGTGGTTCTGGCCAATGGGAGCTGTGGGAGTGGCGCTTGGGGTGGGGGCAGCATGCGGAGCTCCCTGACTGCCCCTATGTGTAGGAGCTGGAGGGCGGATGTGCCGCTGCTTCTGGGAGCCGTGCAGAGTGGGGCAAGCCCCCGACCCTGCTCCCCGGCAGGAGCTTAAGGGCCGGATTAAAATGCCTGGAGGGCCGGATACGGCCCCTGGGCATAGTTTGCCCACCCCGACCTAGCATAATGGAGTCCTGGTCCAAGGTGCTGTGGTAATATAAATAATATTAATAACAAGCACAAAACCCATTTATTTGCACTGGTACACATATCTTTGCACATACTGTAGGTTCTGAGACATTATTGCTTAGTAGAGTATCTGTGTGCAAGCTTGTCTCAATTAACAAACTGTCAAAATGTCTGATTGGAGTGACTATTTGATTATGGATTGAAATCTGAAATGCGATATTCTCTTTAAAGTCTGTTTTACATCACCCGGCAGAAGCAATTTTTCATTTTCTGGAGGTAAAAAAAATTGTGGGGTACTTCAAAATCCAAAGGCAATGGCTTTTGCCAGAGGTAGACATTTACTTCCCTTGACCTTGTTTGCAAAGCCTCTCATTAGGAGGATCTACGTAATTTTATCTAGTAAAAATAATTTGCTATCTAAAAATCCATTCATTGATTAATTGAATTTTTCTGGGACTCTCTCGGCAATAATTATTGTTGGTTTAGCAGAAGAAAAAAACAATGTTCCTAATGGTTAATTACGGCTGTGTGTGTCACCTGTATCATTATGTTTGTCTATAGACCTGGCACAAAATGATGTTTAGACTCAATGATATGCATGATTGTGCAGTGCTGTACATGGTTATTTGCGTTGTTTATATGTGTAGTGTTGGAAGTATACCCCACATAGTCCGATTGGGGTACAGAGACAGGGTCCAAATATCTTGCAATTTTTAAATTAGCATTAGGAAGCAAAATCAAGGGTATTATCATAATCCTCTGCCTTCCTGATTTTCCTTTTTATACAACCTTGAAAGGTTAAAAGCAGACTATTACATCAAAAGATAAACACATGGTAGAGAACTTAAATAAAGGTAAAACACCCAAAGAGAAGAAAGAAACAGGATGTCTACTATAAGTCTGATTAATTGTACACATTTTGGGTTCCAGAAAATATTGGCACAGTCAATAGTAATTGCTTACTTCCTTTTTCATGAGATATTTGCTAAGAGAATGCAGATTTCTGTGGCTTACAAATACATCTTTAACTCTGAGACCTAGTTAAGGCATGCTAGTTACTAGGGATTTAGCAATGGTTAGAACACAAGGCTGGCCTTCGGGACTCCTGAGTCTATTTCAGCTGGCCCCACTTGGGGATCACGGTACCTGTGCTGCGAGTTTCCAGAATCTTCCAATGGGGCCAGTCATCCCTTCCCCCACCTTCTCTTATGAAGGATTTTGAGGATATGTAAGGGGAAGTGAACCCAACCATCCTTCAGTTCCTTCTAACTGGGAAGGTGTGACGGGATCCCCGGGGTACAACCTGGAACTGGAACTGTAGCCAAGCAGTGTAAATGGGATCCCAGGCTGGAGAGCTAAGGGGACACAGCAGTCCAGATTGCACCGTGGGGAATGTCACAACCTCACAGTCATACTTTATATGAAATGTATCATAGTCTTTAAAAGGGGTGAACATAGGGGTATCGGCTGTCACAGGCACCAAGATCTCTGGATCCTTCCTGATTGACCAAGCCAGGGATTTGACATCCCACGACTCTGGAGAACTGCTTAATAAAGTGGTTCTGGTTCTCAGATTCATCCTGGTCAACAGAGTCAAGTGCTGAGGACCTGACACCATTATCTTGATAGGAATTGCTTACCAAAGTAGAGGCACTCAAGTGCTTGTATCTGTCCAGGTTGACTGAGAATTGTGCTGAGGATCTGGCACCTTCAACTCTGTGCTCATCATTAGTGGTAATGAGGTCCCAGGTCTGTCCAGGTGCACTGTGTCTGATACCAGTGATCCAGCACCATTGACTCCAGGGAGCTTGCTTGCTAAAGTAGTTTCGTGCCCAGTAAAAATGGCTTTGAAACCTCCGAATGCATCCAGCTAACCAAACCCAGTGCTGAGGTTATGGTACATTTGACTCTATGCTCAACATAGGGCACTGAGGTCCCTAGATCCATCTGGATTAACCAAGTCAGTGCTTCAGTCCTTGCACAATCTGATCTTAACCCTCATCACAAACTATGCTGTGGGTGCTGCTTCCATCTGTGTCAAGAGTTCAGTGTGGAGGACCCTGCACAGTTACCTCTGGAGAACCTCCTGCTAATATGGTTCTGGGGGTGGCATAAATGGCACCAAGGTCCTAGGGTCCATCTGGATTAAACAAATCTGGAACTGTCAAATGCAAAAGCTGCACCCTAAGTCGTTCTATGTCTGACAGCAGCAGCATTGCAGGCCTTTGTTACAAATTGACTGAATTCAGTGTCAAGGAACATGCACATTTACCTGTGAAACATTGTGTGCCAATAAGGCCCAGGTGCCCCGATCTGTCCAGTGCAGGGGTTCTGGTTCTGTTCATTGTGTACATAAGTGGGACTGAAGTGCCTGGGCTTGTATGGGTTGACAGAATCCAGTCTGTGACAGGGTTCGGTCACAGAGATCCCCTTGGGACTGTCACCTGATGTTCTGAATTTACCTCTGAGCCCGTTTTCCCTGCCAGCTTGGGATTCCAGAACCCTGCCTTGTTGAGCCAGACATGCTAGCCAGCTGCAAACTCAGACCCAGGTCTGGTCCATGCCCCCAAAGCTGCAGACTTTATCCAAAAAGTGCTCAGCAGATCACCTATCCCAGCATCCAGACACCCAGTTCCCAATGGGATCCAAACCCCAAATAAATCCATTTTACTCTGTATAAAGCTTATGCAGGGTAAACTCATAAATTGTCCGCCCTCTATAACACTGATAGAAAGATATGCACCACTGTTTGCTCCCCCAGGTATTAATCACTTACTCTGAATTAATTAATAAACACTGGCTCTCTCTCTGGCTCCCTCACATGCACTAACTCTCTCTCTGGTTCCCTCACATGCACTGGCTCACTCTCACGCACACATACACACACATGCGCACACACACATACACACTTGTATTATTATTGTTGTTGTTATTACTGCTTGGTACTTCCTGTCAAAATGCTCAGGTGAGCCAGGAGTGGCTAGGGGCTACAGGAGGGCTGTGGGCTCTGGAAAGATGC